ATGCTTAAATCGTTTGATGAAAAAATATTTTTCCAATCAAATAAATGTTGCAACCAATCAACAAATTAATACATGTTACAGCAAATTAATAAATTTTTTCAAATGTTGCAACTATTTTGCAACATATGTTATAATAGTGGTATGTTGCAACATATTCATAAAGGCTACCATCTTTAATGTGGCTTATATAAAAAAGGATTTTTTTTCTTGATTGAAAATTTTAAAAAAAATGTAAAAAAAAAATATATAATTGTCACAAATGTAAAATTTACGATAATTATGCTGTTGTTTTTACATGATTGTTTTTCTTAATTATTTTATGATTATAATGAAAAAAAAGTTGTTTCAAGGAACCAAAATATTCCAAAAATTATATCATCTGAAAACCCAGAAACCTTTATGAGGAATTTGTGTATACTTTCGCATTCTGTGAAATGATAAATACCTATAATAATACATCAAACAAGAGGGAACTGCAGGAACAAGCTCAAAGTAGCTGGCAAGAAATAAAATGGAAAAATAAAGAATTTATTCAGAACCATATTTTTGAATTATTATAAACACCAATTCAACCTCGTTCTTTGATTTTTTTTTCACAACAAAAATCCGTAAAAAATACCCCAAAGCCACCTTTAGAACCTCTAAAACCTTTAGAATCCCTAGAACCTCTAGAACCTCTTCCCATACCTACTAAAAATTTTTCACCAAATGCAGCGACACAAATCAATTGCATACAAATCTTTAAAAAAATAAAGCTGATTTATATAAATATAATAATCTATTAAAAATAGCCACATCACCGGAATTACGTTCACAATTCACTTTAAAAATTAAACAGGTTAAGGATACAATTGTATTTGAAGAAAGAAAGCTCAATAAGCTAAAGGGTAATGCAGAAGCTTAACAATGAACTTGAAATAAAAAGCGGAAAAAATTAGATAAAAAGAATATTGTTGAAATGTATGATGTATTGGGTCATCCATTATTTCTGATGAATAATTCTGAACTTTTGGATAAAATGCATAATTGTATTGAATTTGAAGCTGCAGACCATAAAATATGCAAGGAAACGATTAAGATTCAAACCGTTAAGCATTTTTATAAAGAGATAGAAGAGAAGTATGATGTCTATATAGCAAAATTAATTATGCAAAATTATATGCAACCTAAGCATCTGAGAACGAGAGAAGTAAAACAATATCATTATTTTACGCAAATTGGTTTAGCATCCGTTGAAAGAAATAAGATAGCCAGTCACATTGATGAATACTATTGTTTGGCTTCTGTAAAAGGTATTAAATCAATCGTGACGGCTTTTTCTAATGAAGTTGTGTTGATTTCTCAGGATGATAAAGCCAAGGTATTTATTTAATAATTTTTTCCTTTTAATATAAGTTTCAAGTTTTTAATTTTCAAAGTTTTATAGGTTCCTCTTGATATGGTAGCAGTTGGAAGAACATTTAAAACAATACAAACAACAAATGAACCAGTGTCAATTCCTGACCATAATTTTTCAAAGGCTGCAAAACACAAACTGATACCATCTGTTTACTTAATGATTAACCTTTCTAATATGAATAATTCATTACGTTCTGTTAAAATGAGAATTTTTGTTCGTCCAGAATATTTTTTGGGTATATTATGCGAGACATATATGATAGACCTTATGTCAATCACAAAAGAAGATTCCTTTCACGAATTTATGCACTATGAATGCTCTATAAAACCAATTTGGTATTTATTGACAGATGGCAGACCAGACGAGAGTCCCCGATTCTTTGCAAATATCTCAAAATACCTATTGCTTTTAAAAAACTCGACTGAGACTACCTTACAGTTCAAACACATGCCCCAGGGCAGTCTGCATATAATCCAATTGAGCGGAGTATAGCATCGCTTTCCAGAAAGTTAGCGGAAATTGAGTTAGATGCATTTATGTATGGTAAACATTTCAGAAGTGCTGATGGAAAAATTACCATTGTGAATGAGAAACTCAGACGTCGTAATTTTAAACATACAGGTAAGCGTCTCTATGAATTTTGGAGGCGTGACAATATAAATGATCACCCAGTTATTACTACATATGTTGAGGAGCACAACTGTTCGCATTTTTTAGATATAAATGAAGAATTGTGGGATTGGATTGATAGGTATAGCCAAATTTGCAAGTATTCTCTTGATTTAAAAAAGTGTAAAGATCGAAATTGTTGTGGACAACCACATGTTCCCAAAATTTATGATCTTTTATCCACAAACAATGGTTTTTTACCACTTGTCATACAAGGCCTTGATGGTCATTTTCTAAATCTAATTCACACTTTGGAATATTTTAAAAAGCTACCAGGCTATGATGAACATTATCCCAGCATTACCCCAGATTTATATAATAATCTTGTATGCTAAAAATGTCGTAAATACTTTCCATCAAAAGCATTTTTAAAGTAGCATATTAAAGTAATCCATTCGAAAGAGAAAGCAACAAATGTGAGAATTGAAGAATCTGAATATTCACAAAATGATGGATTTGATATAGAATACACAAAAAGTGTTTGTACAAAAGAAAATATGAATCATGTAAGAAATGATAATTCGTAACGCCAATTATTCCAACAGGAAAAAGTTGCAAAGAAGGTAAAGGAAAAGAAAGGAGTTCACAACAGCAAAACTCAAAAGAGAAACCATAGAAGCAGGATCATCTCACATTTAAAATTAATAATTAATATTAGTTATTATGTAGTTTTTTGAATAAATTTGAAACGGTCTTAATGAACAATATTTTTTTTCTCACAACTTTAATTAATTTCACAATAGTTAAACTTAAGTTTAATCAACTAAACTTTTTTTTTCTTACAATACTATAATGTAGTAATATTGATTAACTATCAATCGGGTTTTACAATTAGTAGTCTGCAGAACCAGTCCAGAATTTGGAATTTATAAATTCAGAGAAATTGGAGTTTTTCATTAAACTAGGACCGTGATATCAAATAAAATTTAATAAATAATTTATTGTAATTAAATTTACATACTTATATTTTATCGTTTGTATTTTATTTTGCAAAAAAAAGAGAAATTTTTCAGACACGGATCACGTGATTTTTAATTCCTTAATGAAAATGATGACAAGGGGGGAGGGGGAGGAGAAATCTCTAAATTTTGAATGACGTCATTTCTGGCCCTCCCCTAAGTTAAATCCTTTCCAAAAATAGAAACGTCTTATCACATAATAAATATTCGATGGTGTTCATAATACTCACAGACATGTCTTGCAGTTTGAGTTGTTTATAAAACAAAGTTAATTTTTCTAAAAAAAGTTGAAGGTATACGCGATACGTCATGCAATTATAATCATATGTAAGTCACGAGAAAAGTAAACCAATAATAGGCGAGGATTATGAAAATGCTATAAAAAGATTTTAAGCTAACCAATTCTAGTATAATCACGAGACAATTTCTAAGGTTAAATTTGTCATATAAAGGTGACAGATATTCTTTCAAATTCAGATTTTTTTCAGAATCAAAAAAAAAGTAAAAATGAGTTCTCGGAAAGAAATACTTGTGTTTGATAATATACTTTCATTAAGAAGTTGGAGAAAACAATTTATAAAACAAGATAAACAAGTTGCATTCGTACCTACGATGGGTTCATTACATGAAGGTCATTTAAGTCTAGGTAAAAGATGATACGGTAGATTCTTCTATCTTAAATCCACGCTTATATTCTACGAATTTCTTTATTATTCTCTCATACGTAATTCTTTTTTTTATACAAGTGAAACAAGCGAGTCAACATTGTCCAATAGTTGCAGTATCAATATTCGTTAACCCTGCACAATTCGCTCCAAATGAAGATTTAAATGAATATCCTCGCACACTTTCAAATGATCTAGAATTACTTCATTCATTGGATTGCGTTGATGCTGTATTTTTACCTAAAGTTGAAGATATTTATCCATTTGGTATTCCACTTGACGTCGAAAAACAAAAAGGAGCCTTCGTTGAAGTAAAAGGAAAATCCCATCAGGTATTTGATTTTATATTACAATTATTCATCATAATCTTTTTATAGTAAAAATAAATGTTTATTGAATCAAACTCTGATGTGAAAGATGGAAGGCAAATCAAGACCATTATTTTTTCGTGGAGTGTCAACGGTATTAACAAAATTTTTTAATATAGTTCAACCAAATTGCGTATTTTTTGGTCAAAAAGATGCACAACAATGTATAGTAGTTCGTACGTTAATTTCCGACTTACATTTTCCTATTGAAATGCATGTTGGAAAAACCGGGAGAGAACATGATGGATTGGCAATGAGTTCTCGTAATAAATATTTAACACCTGATCAACGCAATTATGCTACGACATTGTTTAAAGGGTTGTCCGCTATTAAAAATGAATTTGATCAAGGTGAAAAGAATAGAGAAATCTTGCTAAATAAAGGATACGAATTGATTGAAAATATTGCTAAAGAAGTTAGAGAAAATAATTTAGGGTTCGAATTAAAATTGGATTATTTATCTTTAGTTGATCCTAGAACTTTGGAGGAATTACAAGAAATTGAAGAGGAAAAAGGCGCGATTTTATCAGGTTCTTTGTACGTTGGAAAAACCAGAATAATTGATAATTTATTACTTAATTGCACTTTGTAAATGACACTAACTTAATTAATAATTGTAAATTGGGAGAAGATTCGAAAGGGTAACATATTGTCTGCATAATGGGCATTCAGCCTATTATTATTACGATAAGAGAGATTTAATTAATTTCAATTCAAATAAATAAATAAATAATAAATTTTAATAAGTTTTTCTTTACCTTGTTGTTACACCATTCAATAATACAAGACCAACAAAACAAATGACCACAAGGAGTAGCCGTAGTATTCTTGCGTGGTGAAAGACAAAGGGTACATTTACGAGCTGCAATTTCTCGAGGCGTTAATCCTAATGTCGACGTAAACGTCAAATCTGCTTCATCCCTGTTATAGTAGTATATGTATTGATTAAAGGTATTCACGTAAATCAGCCGTAAATCAACTTTATGCTTACTCAGAATTATCATCATCGTCTTTATCGGATACACCATTATCCAAAGTTCTTCGGTAAAGGTTTGCTTGGATGATAAACTGTATTACAAGTAAAAATCCAAGTATCTCATAACCGAGACGTTGTTCATGAAGTCCCAATTGTCTTGTAAATATCTAGACAACAGAAAATAAATTAACAAGCACAAAATCACAATTGCCAACTCATTTCTAATAAAAGGTATAATTCGTATATACATAACGAATTCCAGTGACTCGTTTCGATAAACTATAATAAGCTCCATAGAAGTAAAATATAGCAAGATGAATTGCATGAACATGATTTTTAAGGAAAGTCTGTAATTTAGGAAGTAATTTATATATAAAACCAACATATTTCGTGCTGCTATTATTACTGCTATTATTACTATTATCTTCCATTTGTTCTTTTTGTAATAATTTTTTCCGTGAAGGTTTTGTACGTTTACGCAATTCTGATATACCCCGCGTGTATAAATAAGGAAGGGTCACGTGCCAAAATATCAATGTAGCTCGTTTCTGATTGCAATGTTAATAATAAAAATTAGTTTTAAAAGAAATCATGTTTGAAGGTGATTAATTATGATGCTTACGCTCGAAGATGGAAATTGTTTAGTTGATTCAGAGGTTTGCATAATATCACAGTATTCTTCGCCTAAGGTTTGAGTACCTTTTTCAAATAAAAAAAAAACAGCAAATTAGAAAAATCCATCAAGTTGTTAACTTATCAGGTAAATTTGCTTTTCTATTTACCTAATAAAGTTGTTAGTCCAAAATAAAATAAATCAGAAATCACGTTAACTTCTTTCTGATACTGATGTAGTATTCGCGTCCCTAGAAAAATTGATTTATGATTATTTGTTCATAAAATAAAGGATCGATTTGAAGTATTTAGAAAAACATACCAAAAAAAGTTCGAAATACATTGATTACTTGCTCTTCTAACACGCGTTGATAATAAACATCCTTTTGATTTGCTCGAACTTAAAAAATTCCAAAGAATTAATTTTAAAAAATATATTTTTTTTTAAAAAAAAGAGAAGAAAAAAAAACGACTAACTGATATCAGGCTGTGCCGCATATGGAAAAGTAATATTAAATTTCGGGATTATGGGACTTTTAAATTCTTTTAATGCTGCTGTCATTGAGGTCGAATCCTCAGACTTCGGCATTTTAAAATTATTTAAAAAGAAGAAACGTAATAACAATAACTTGAGAACGTATAAGTACTCTTAACTAAAAATCGTTTGTTCTCTAAACTAGGGACCGTGTTTGTACTCTTAACTAGAGATCGTGTGTAGTCTCTTAACTAGAGTTGGTCTCTTAATTAAGGTTCGTGTGTGGTCTACGTATTTGTACTCTAATTAGTTAATTAGTCTAATTAGTACACTAACTACCTACTTAGGGTGACAGTCTAAAAATCGCACGTGATTTTACGATTTTTATCGCGACTATAATTCTAGTCGAAATTTTATAATTTTTAGTAAATTGACCAAATTTATTATAGCAAAATAAATGTAA